AAATCAGAGTATACAGTTGGAAATTTATGTGTTTGTGTGGTTCACTTATACATAGGGCACCACTTTATATCTCCTTGGCATTTTGTACCAGTTACTGGCACAGGACACTTGAAGATGGGACTAGAAAATATTAAATTCATTATAACACCACTCAGCCGTTCTAGATCTGTGATGAGAGTTTTTTTTTTTTTTTTTCTTTCTTTTTTAATTTAGTGTGCTTTTAGATTTTCACAGTTCACTGCCAGGTAGAGAGCCTTTTTTTTTTTTTTTTTTTTTTTTTTTTTTTTTAAATTTAGAGTGCTTTTAGATTTTCACAGTTCACTGCCAGGTAGTCTATGAGAGTTTTGTTTTGTAGTAGCTTACTCTTTTGGAGTTGTTTCAGCCATACTTGGGCATTTTCAGCCGGAAATGTAGATCTTTGGTGATTTCGCTCTCAAACATATGGTGATCAATGGTATGTGTTGAGCTGCATATGCATGAACCTGTGTGGTGCAATCTGAAGTGAAACAGCCTGTGCTGTCAGGAAATATGTCATTGCTCTGTCTGTAGTGGTTAATTCTCTTGAAGGCACCAGGAGAAAGTTAAATGTCCTCCTGCCTGTTAGCTCGTGTCCAGTTAGTTTTCCAAAAGGACAAAAGGTCCTATTCCAGTCCTCATTTAAGACGTGATAATGGAATTGGCAGAGAGATGGCTAGGGCAAATTATCTGTTTGCACTATCTCTTGTCAGCTGGCTGCTTCATTGTCCATTGTGCCCACATGGGTGTGTGTCCAGTTAAGCTTGGGATGGGTATTCTCTGGGAAATAGGACAGTAAGCGTTGAATTTCCCTTACTAGTGACGAGCAACTCAGTTCGATTATTGCATGTAGGCTTGAGGCATTGTCAGAAATTATAACACTTCTTTCTTTCTTGTCGTTTCCTGGCAAATTTCAGAGCTTCTCTGATAGCTAACAGTTCAGCTTGAAATACTGAATTTGTGCTGTTAAGCTTTGCCTGCCAAGTTTTAAAGAGCAAATTAATCCTGTAGGCACAGAAGGCACCTCTGACACCCAATTTAGTTTTTGATCCATTCACATACAAGTAGATTCGGATTGGGAAAACGTCTATTGAAGAATTCATTCGGATGGTTTGGCCATAGATTTATAATTGTGCTTATGTTCTTCATAATCTGTTGGATGGTACACTGAATTATTGAATGTGCTGGGTTGGCACAGTCATGCTACTTTAAATTTTTTTGCCTCTTGTTCTATTGTTATGGCGATTGGTGGAATGCCTGCTATGACATTTAAAGCACTTGGGAGGGTATTCGATATGCCTTTGTGATTGCCAGGAGAAAAAGTCTTTGTACAGAAAGTAACTGCCTTTGGGCATGCGCATTGAGGTTTTTGGCTTAAGCTGAAAAACCATGTAGTAGAGTCTCTTATCTATTATGAAGCATAAAATACACATACCCTGTTCTACTGGCCAAAATGGCAGTATTGATAGTGATGTTGGCCATTCAAGTGGGCTAGTACAATGGCCAAACCAATGTTCATAAATGAATTGCCCCACCCTTAGTTGTCTCTGTGCCTCCAGGAGTGATGACCCTGGGAAGCCAGTTCAGCAATGGGTGTGACACAAAGAATTCATAATAAAATCTGCTGTCTGTGGCGAGAGCTCCCATGGGTATATAATTAGGAATGCTTTTTAGGCCAGCTGTGATCAAGACATTGTGCCAATCTGAGACAGACCAACTGAGATGTTGACAATACCACTTTAATATTGTCCCACTGGATTTGGCAGTCAGTGGAATGTAAAACTAATGTGAATGTGTATCTTGGGCATACAGTCCCTTCATGCCTTCAGTGCATAGTACTGGCAGATACTTCCCACCAAGTGATGTTGTAACAGCTGTAGAGGTTGCTCGTCAATTGCACTTGATTACTACACCAATATACCAGTATTCAGAACAGAGTGGTAATCCTTTGTCAACCAGACGCAGGTGTCTGGACTTGTCTGATGTGTTTGAAAGTGTTTCCACATCAACATATTAGTGTTATTTGCCACTCATGTTCTTTCAGCCACAGAAACATTAATATCATCAAAAATGATCCTACAAAAGTAATAAACACTTTATATAAGCATTAAAATGAACTTTCTGAAACCCCCGAGTGCCAGCATCTTCAAATATCTTCAAATAATTAGCATATATTTAGACAGCCAATTGCCATTGGCCTTAACATACAATACTGCATACAACCATTTGCATCTGCAGCAATTTTCAGCTATTAAAATTCACCTACACTTTTAAAAATTGCTAATTTGGATTGAGTGTTTAACCTTTGGAAGCCAATGTATTTCTTCAGTCTCTTTATTTAAATGCAGAAAAATGGCATATTCTAAAGCTTTTGTCCAATTCTCAAGAAAGTCAAAAACAATGAAAAATACCATAACACTATACAGTATTATATTATTTCATGGGATGATTAATAAAAATTGCACTTTCCATAACCATCTCAATACAACACATAAGCAATAACACTTCAGTTCCAATCTTGTTTAAATACTTAAACTCAAGATTAATATTGCTATGAGAAAAATAACACTGAGGGCTTTAGAGCTACAATATTTCAGCAATTTATGGCCCATTTTGTCTTGTTGTACAAATGTTATGTCTTTAATATTTTAAAACTGCACTAAACGATGGATAAATGAAATTCTGACACATGATTTAACGGCGTCTGCCAAAAACATCTCGGAGAAAACAACGCTAGGTGAAAACATCGTAGTACAAAACATTGTGGGAGAAAAGAAAGCAAAGAGAAAACATCACAGTTCTAAAATATCATAGTACAAAATATCGTGGGTGAAAATAAAGTGGTTCAAAAATCGCAGTTTAAAAATATCATCGTCAAAAATATCATGGTAAAAAATAAAGTACAGTCCAAAGTCATTAATCTGGACTTGTCGGGACTTCGGCGATTCCGGATTATCGATTTTTCCGGATTATAGATAATCAGTTTAAATCTGGTAAGATGGCATGCAGAAATTACAAAATTTAAAAAATGAAACCGTAATTTATGAAATAAAGAACAAATATGATCTAAAGGGTATCAAAATTTACAAAAAGAAAAAGCTTAATATTTATTTGTTTGCTTTATTAAACATTTCTTTCAATGTAAGTTGTTTAAGTTGCTTCATTTCATGTGATAATACTTTCTCTTTAATTCTATTAAATACACATAATTTCTTGTTTAGTTACAAAGTTCCGCTGATCAAGTCCTATAATTGCTGTGTCAAGAATACCGACTAATTTGTGAATCGAAATTTTTTCCGTTTTCAATAACCTCTGTGTCACTTTCTTAACTATCGGAAGCGAATTATAATGACGAGGAACTTGATTTAAATCATATCAAAGACGGAGTACATCAAGATGAAATATTACATTTAGTAAGGAATTATAAGCCAAATAAAATAAAAACAGCTGCCCTGAAGATAAGGATAGTGCTGACAGATCAACTTCCAATTCATTGCGAGCTGCGGCGTCCCCCCCCCGCCACTGAGCAGCGTGAAATTGATAAACAGATTTTGGAATGGTTAAGAAACAAAGGATATGCCTTTATCCATTTTTTGCAGCAATTCCACTTTTTGTTTAATGGACTTCGAAACATACTTTTGCTTTGTAGATCCTTTACATATTAGTAAATATATATCGGAAATTCTATTTGACATAATCGAAAGTTCAAGCTTACTTTTATAAAATTGCTCTAACAGTCTGCAAAAAATAATAAGCCGGATCCAATTCGAAGATTAAGGAACAACGGAATCTGCAACATTAACTGATTAGATAATTTTAGCTTAGCTTATACCAACAGTTATACATTAAACGCGCATGCGTAAACGTATTACGCGCATGCGCACACGCATATTTGCAGCCGTAAAGGTCTTACGCGCACGCGTAAATGCTATGCATCAATGCGATGCATGCACAGAGAGTTTGTAGCTTTGATGTCCAGATTATAGATCATTCCGGATTATGGGTGCCCGAATTAACGACTTTTGACTGTATCTACAAATCATCACATGACGATAATATCGCACATATGCATTTTTCAGGTTTTAAAAATTGTAAGTGCATTTTTGAATAATGATCTGGGAACGCAAGAAGGAATTTTTACTTCCATATTTCATACTTTCAATGAACTAAACTTGCTGAAAAACTAAGAAGGAAACTTAAGCGTTTAAAAATTGAAAATGAGTAGAAAATTAATACAACTCTATAGCATTTTATAGAATTTTAAATTTACATAGTTAATTAACAAAGGTTATCAATAAAATAATCTTTTTTAATAAAGTTTTACTGATAATTCTTCATGAAAAATTCACTCTAAAAAGGTTTAGGAAAAGGAAAATAAATAACTGCATGAGGTTACCTCTATAAAAATTGCTTAGTTAATTATAAAATTATGTTCTTCCACATTTGTTTATCTGTTATTATTTTATTGAAAATTACATTTTCTTTTGTTTCCCTTTATTCATAAGAATGTCATTAACATTTTCATCCTCTTTCCCACTTTCCTTCTAGCGCTCTAAAATTATTATCTGAAAATGCATTTACAACTTTGAAAACCTCAAAATGCATATGTGTGATGTTGTTGTCATGCAATGATTTGTAGGTACTTTATTTTTTACTACGAAGTTTTTGAACCACTTTATTTGCGACCACGATATTTTGTACCACGATGTTTTAGATTTGTGACGTTTTCTCTTTGCTTTCTTTTCCTCCACAATGTTTAGTAGTATGGCATTTTTGCCTCACATTGTGTTATCCATGATGTTTTCGTCCGCGATGTTTTCGTCCGCGATGTTTTCGGCTGTAATTGAATCAACAGATACAGGGGCATAAGAGTACTTATCCATTAGAATTTTTTTTTAAGTAAAAATTTAATTATAAGAGGTAAATTATTTTCATTAAATACCTTACATAAAATCTAATCATATGATGCACAAAACATATTTTACCTTTAATCTCCAATTTGTGCCAGTATCTGTTTTGATTTTAGCCAGCCAAGCATCTTCAAAAAATTCATTGTCACTAGAATAAATTCAATATACTGAGTGTAATTTTTTATTTTATTTGGAAATATTAACAAATTTGAATATTGAGAATGAATAAAACAGAGTTTCCAAATATTTCACTTTTTTTAAAAGCACCACTCATTCAAAATATTTGTTAATATTTGAGCACCACTCATTCACTATTTGACAAGATTACAAAGTTTCCTACTTACTAGAAATTTTGTATTAATGATTATCTCATACAACAACAGGTAATCATCACTTTGTGTTATCATAATTATATAACACAGATGTGGATTTATCACTGTTATTAACTGAACCATACATGAAAGTTCTCCATAATAGTTTAACTTCTGCATAGTATTTTTCAGTGTTAAAATTACAATAAAACAAAATCTTTGGTTTATGTTCCATCTTTTTTTATTGGATTTAACATCAAATTTTCTATGGCTCCTCTGTGCTGTAAAGCTATGTGTTGGCGCCTGAATGTCTGCTACACAAAACCTCTCTCCTCTCTGCCGTCGTTGCCTACTCTTGTAACATGCATGCGTCAATATCGTTTGTTTTTGTAATTCTTTTTATTAGCTTGTTCGATGAAAAATTTGTTGCTTGAATTTTTTAATGGCTGCTGATTGAGCGGTTAATTTTTGAATAGAATAAAAGATGGATTTAAGAGAAAATTAGTTTCGTTATTTCGTAGCTACAGTCCATAATACTATGATTAGAAGTTTGAGAGAAAGAAGGGTAAGGGTCATCCATTTTCAAGAAGTGATTAAAGAGACGCACGCTGACAGAAATTTCTATCCAAAATAGAAACTGATTTTCACAATTCTTTCTCTCAGTAATGCATTCAAAATAGATTAAATATCTGTTAGAAATACTAGACCACATATTAATTATAAAAGAAACTTATTATTTTACTTGAAAAATTAAGAAAGTGTGTCAGGAATTTGCTTCGATTTAACCTTCTTATAACCAGCACACAAAAGCAATTCCTGTTTTCTCCACACAGTTTCAGTCAAGGACTAAACGGAAGAAAACTAAAGTTCCTTAACCCGTTAACTGGGGAATAAGCTTTCAGTAAAATCGTTTCACAATGGGGACCTTTTCCTTTGCAGTAATTTCAGCACATCGCAAGGAATAAATAAAAGAAAATCGTTTTAAAATATTTAATGAATGATATTAAATATTAAAATTAAACATTTTTAATCCGGAAAAAAACAAATTAATTGAACGAATTTAAACAATTATTTCGTATGATATTCCCTAAAGCAATGCGGCATACACAAAGCAACACTGCAGTCGGGACACCAAAATCTCGATTCTTTCCCCTAAGACCTTTGGAATAGCATAATTTGCATCTCCTCGTTACATTTACTCTTGAAGAGTCGGATGGTATATAGTCTGCAAAATGTCTTTCAAAGAGTCGAGATGGTTTTGGTGTCAAAGATGATCGTCCTGTACTAGTAGATGGCAACTGCGATCCGTCTCTATATTTTTCAACACCTTTTTCTACAGTTTCGATAAGGAAATGAAGCCTATCTAGGTGACCGCCATCTTTCTTGTATAAAAGATATGCATTCAAACACACCATGTCTAGTGCATGTAAAAATATCTTATAGTAATACTTTTTTACTTGGTTTCTAGCGATTTCATAAGTTTTCATTTGTCCGTCAGCAAGATCAACTCCTCCCATATTTTTGTTGTAGTCAGCGATAACTTCCGGTTTTGATATCGTTTTCCTTCGTTTTTCTATTCTACAAATTTATTGTCGTGGATAGTACTCAATATAATTACATCCTTTTTGTCTTTCCACTTCATAATCATTATTTTGTCTCTGTACCTAGCAATATGTTCATCTTTTTTCAAAACACAATTTTTGATATCAGATGGTATTCCCTTTCTATTTTTTCGCATTGTTCCTACAACATCGGTTTTTCTTCTGCACATCTTCTCAGCTAGATCAGTACTAGTATACCAATTATCGAGATATAGCGTATATCCCTTATCCAACAAATCGTGGCACAATTCAAGAACAATACGATTTGGTCCCTGTTCTTCTGGATAGTTCGAACCATACTGCGTGTCTTTACCTGTATATATAATGAAATCACTTATGTATCCGGATTTACTTTCACATATCTTATACAATTTAACACCAAATCGACTTCTTTTCGATGGAATGTACTGTTTCCAAGACAGTCTTCCTTTCCATAGCAAAAGAGACTCATCTACAGATATTTCCTTATCTGGTACGTATAACACCTTGAATTTGTTTCTCAAATAGTTCAAAATGGAATCGATTTTGTAGGTTTTTTTGTTGCACACTTTTAGATCGAAAGCATTGTTATCACTAAAATGTAAAAATTTTACTAACAGTTGGAATCTTTTTTCTGACATAATTTTATAAAAAAATGGAGTCTCCAGACTTTCTCGCTTTGTGAAATAAAGCTGATAAGAAGGATTATTCCTTGCAAAATTAGTAAAAAAATAAATACTCTCATCTCTCAGTCAACCCACGAGAGACATCTTGAACGCGGTTTCATGGAAGTATTTTTTTCAAAAAACTGTCCGGCGTATTTGTTTGATTGTTCCACAATAAGTTCTACAAAATTCTCATCGATAAATTTCTCGAAATAAAAAAGGCAATCCTTTTCTTCAGGTCCTTCAAATGTAAGTCTAGATTGAGATAAAAACGGGAAAGGCGATCGCAATATTCTTTCACATTTCCATTCAGCTGATGTCGGTTGAGTATTTTGGTCTATAACATCATCATCCTTTGATTCAATGTCCGGACCATCAGTAAAGAAGTCGTTATCGCTTTCTTCCGAACTGGTACTTATTCTTAGAATTCGACGTCGTTTACCAAACCTCCCGGGCAATATTTCATCGTCACTTTCAGACAATTCAAAAATATTTTCTGCTTCACAATAATTTTTAGCCATATTTATAAAAAACTAACAATTACTCAAATCAACAAGTTATTACTAATATGTAAAATACTGAAATGCAGACTAAAATGAAATTAAGTTGTGCAAATTAGGAGTGTTATCACAATTTATGAGCGGACAAGTGTTTCCATTGATCGATTTTTCTTGAACAACGGTCAAGTGACAGATTGCAAAAAAATGTAAGAAAAATTTCGTCATGCCCATTGAAATAGTCTTCCCAGCATGACGAAAAATTTCGTCATACCCATTGAAATAGTCTTCACAGCATGACGAAACAATTCGACATACCCTTTGAAATAGTCTTCCCAGCATGACGAAAAATTTTGTCATACCTATTGAAATAGTTTTCCCAGCATGACGAAAAATTTCGTCATACCCAGTTAACAGATTAATTCATTTAAAGGAAAATCTATCCAAAGGTCAAACGAGCCAACCATTTAGAATATAATGCACAAAATCTCATTCCTATTTAATCTTTTATTAGCTTTGGTTTTTGTTTAGTTGGTTACGGCACAGCACAGCACACTAGGGCTATCTACTTGAGGACAGGGATGCAATCGTAGAGGACCTTCTGAGAGAAAGTGGCACATGTTACATGAGGAGAAAACCATGAAAACGCACATACAGAATCACCTGGAATACAGTTCACCTGGAATCAAGTCCCGGTCGAAACTACAAGTGCTCAGCGGTTTTACCACTCGATCATTGGTGGGTCTTATTGTCTAAAGCTTATTGCATAAAATAAAGTAATAATTAAAAAATTTCAGATTCAAAATCATATGCAGCGACACCATATATTATATGGTATGTATAATGTTAATATCAACCATACATAACATGGTTAGTATTACAACCATACACTACATTGCATAACAAAACAATAAATCCATTCATATGATAAATTACTGCTCTTGATCCAGATGTGACACAGTAGACAAACATGGACAAAATATTTTTAGAAGCGCTGAATATACCTATACCTCTAGTCCTTCCTTTCATGGGAAATATGTTCAACATTTCTTCTTTATCAATAAAATCTCTAAAAACTATACAAATGAAAATAAGCTGTTAGGCTGTGTTGTGTTCATTCATTAATTTGTTAAGAAAACCACAACCATTTATTAATATTACTATCAACTGCTAAATTTTTATTATTTATTCTCTCAGTATACTTTTTTTTGAGGGCATTAAAAGACAGCTGATTTTGAATTATGTAACAAGCATTGCAAGTAATTTTAAAGTAAACTTACATAATCATTTTCTGGTGTTAATAATTTTTCACATTAAATCACTGTTTAATGGATAATACCAACTTGTATTAATTACAGAGATATGCAGATTCTTTTCAAATTATCATTCTTAGTTATGACTGCAGATGAATTTTTCTTTCACAATTATGAAAATGTAAACATGAATTTTTCTTTTACGATTATGAAAATGTAAACATACTTCCATTTTTCAAGAAAATTAAAGATCTTAGATATTTTTTAGCTATCATTTTAACTGGACAGCTCTTAAAATGACAAATGAAAAGACTAAATGCTCTATTAACCAATGATTATAAATTAATTTTAAAAAAATTTGGTTCTTCCTGATTACCCATACCTCCTCAAATTATTCACAAGGCAATGCACTACGTTCTCAAAATAAATATGTGGCAACTCATGGCATCACCAATACTTATTTACCTGGCAACCAACATATGCGTGCACGCACAGCAGATGCATTTTAGTGCACACAGATTTTTACCTTCCAAATCGAAGATCACTTTTCTGATTAGCATTTGTTTTTGCATTGAATATATTTTCTTCTTTTGTAACAAATCCTAATGGGACCATGGAGTCTGCAGGCTGATGAAAACGAAAGCATCATATTTCTTAAGATATATTTTGTTCAGAAAATGCGAAAGTATCGTGTTTTTTAAGTGAAAACAAATAGTTGTGAACGTGAGAAAAACAAGAGAAAATCGATAAGTTTGCACGCAATGCCGAATTTCGCAATTTGCAGATTATTTTAGTGAAAACGGATTGCTATGTACAGGGGTGTGAACAACAATTTGCACAGT